CTTTTATCTTCAAAATACAAATTTCTGATTGGCTCATAGTGGAGATAAACCGAGTTTAAACAATAAACCGTGTTTGTGGAACCGTCTCTAACTCTATTTCAACCCTGCACGGTGGAAACTAAGCCATAGGCTTCGATGGTAAGAAAGATACGATGACTTCCAAGAAGCTTTTCTACATAGAATATTGAAAATCGATTGGCACCTATAGTATTGCTTATGTTTACAGTTCACGGTGGGTTTTTAAATGTACTTTATTCAATTGATAGTTTCTGTGTTTCGAATAATACGAATCCTAGAATAAGAAATGGCACAGCAAGATACTGATATAGATTGCGACAAAATGAATGAGCAATTAAAAAGTAAAAGTATCGATCTGGATACTTACAGAAATTTGGTTAAGTCGTATTTGGATTTAGTAAGTTGACTAAACGTTGGTGTTTGACAGTTTCATATTTCTTAAATCTTTGTTGTTATGATGAAAACCTTATTGCTTCTTACAGCATCTTTACAGTGCTGCTCTTTTCTGGGCTGACAAGGTCTTATCTTTAAGCAACGGAGATCCAAAAGATGTGTGTTCATTGGCACAATGTATGTTTCTCATGAAACAATATCATCGAGCTGCACACCTCATTAGGAGTCATGGACTCGAAAAAGTATTATTTCTTCTGCATGCCCTTATTGTTATTTATACCTTGTTAATTAGTATTATTATTTTTTTTGCCAAGATTAATATTGGAACATAATACCTCACAGAGCATCATTCCAATGTTCAAGTTATAACCAATCATTCGTTAATAACCAATCTTTGAGCTATTTATTTTGTCACTTCTACAGTGTTTCATTAAAAAAAAAATATTTTTGAATATCAAATCCTTAAATATTATTTCTTTACATAGACAGATGTTATGTGCCATTATTTGGCAGTTCGGTGCTTGCTTGAAGCAAAAGAATTTACTGAGGCCCTTCAAATCATCAACGAGACTGAAATGTGTACAAATATTTCACAATCTGGAGTCAGTTATAGTGATCATGCTGATATTCTACAAGATGCTCCAAAAAATGTATGTGTATTCTATTTTGATACTAATGCTATGCAATATTTATATTAAATTTTATCTGTATTAAAGTTATAAGAGTCTGCTTAGTTACATGTCATATTTATTTTTCACTAGGTACAGAGTTCAATATTGTATGTAAAAGGAAGAGTGTATGAAGCAATGGACAACAGAGCAGTATCATCAAATTGTTACAAACAGGCCTTACGCTGTGATGTCCATTCATATCAAGCTTTTGAGGCACTTGTACAGAATCAAATGCTTTCTGCAGCTGAAGGTAAGGCATTCTCTTTCAGTTTTTTTTTAAAACAAATGAAAATACTTTTGAAAAAAATATCAAATCTATGTAAAACGTACCAGAGAAGGAACTTCTTGATTCCCTTCCTATCAGTGAACAATGTACAGAAGCGGAAGGCGAATTACTACGTCTATTGTATGAAAGCAAACTGAAAAAGTACCAAGTTCCGACAAAAAAACAACCATTTGCTTCATGCAGTATAAAGGGTATTCTCGTTACGGATCGTCTCCTAGATAATCTAGACATGCAAGTCTCGAAGGCTGAAAGGCTATACTATAATTGTGATTATCACAAATGCTTCTCGCTTACGGAAAGGTAAATCTATTGATAAGATACAATTTTGTAAGCTACATTTTGTATCGATTAAATCGTTTTTGCTTTGTCGTCAAGATGATTGTAATTATCCTTTTTTTTATAGAATACTTAAGAAGGATCCATACCATAATTCTTGTTTACCTGTACATATTGCTTGTTTAGTGGAATTGAAAAAAACTAACGGTAACGTTAAATTTTTGTTGGGACTTAAAATACAGGGGAATCATGGAAAGTGTTTATTTATAATATTGTATTTTTTTTGCAGCGCTATTTTACTTAGCACATAAACTGGTAGACTTGTATCCTGACATGGCGCTTGCTTGGTTTGCTGTTGGTTGCTACTACTATGCTATAGGTAAAATACATACATACATGATTACGACGATGATACAAAAACCTAATTACAAATAGAATTCTAACTAAAATTTACATACTAAAAGGTAGAAGTGATCCGGCAAGAAGATATCTGGCGAAAGCAACAGCACTGGACAGATTATTCGGTCCAGCGTGGCTGGCGTACGGCCATTCGTTTGCAGTAGAAAACGAACATGATCAGGCAATGGCAGCATATTTTAAAGCTTCTCAATTAATGAAGGGCTGTCATCTACCATTGCTCTATATAGGTTTAGAATGTGGCCTAACAAACAATCTGAAACTGGCCGACAAGTTCTTCCAACAAGCACAAAGTATAGCTCCAGATGACCCATTTGTTATACACGAGATGGCCGTTATATCTTTTTACAATATGGAGTGAGTTAGATTACATATATAATAAAAAATGTAGCGTATGTTCATGATAAATATTGATAATTGCACGTAGATACAAAACCGCCGAAAAGCAGTTCAAAGAAGCTATGAAAAGAGTCCAGGGCGACCCAAAAGATGTTGTACTTCCAAGTAAATGGGAGGCACTGCTCAATAATTTGGGACACACTTGTAGAAAAATGAAAAAATACGAAGAGGCTTTAGATTATCATCAACAGGTATAAATATATGTACATAATACGTAATTACTTTACCCGTTAATGTATTATTTTTGCTTCCCTTTTATTGGAATACGTTATTACAGGCCATCGTACTAAATCCACTGAATCCATCGACGTATTCAGCAATTGGTTTCATTTATGCGCTGATGGGCAATACCCAGGAAGCCGTAGACGCGTTTCACAGGGCATTAGGACTTCAAAGAGACGACACGTTTACTACAACCATGTTGGGATACGTTATGGAACAACTTATAGACGAAGTACCTCCTTATCCAGGTATACATATATTATCAATCGTATAATTATATATAAGTAAAATACAATTCACTTCATTATGTAAGAGTGTGTGTGTGTATATATATATAT